CCTCTGAAAAAAAAAAAAAAATTAAAAAAATTAAAAAAAAAAATATTGGAAAACTTTCCTAATCTGGTGAAATGTAGGCCCAAGAAGTTCAGAGTCCAAAACAAGATGAAACCAAAGAAGCCCACACCAACACACATAATTAAAATGCCAAAGGTTAAAGACAAAGAGAATCTTAAAAGCAGCGAGAGAAAAGCAGTTAGTTATCTCCAAGAAAGATCCCATAAGACTGTGAGCTGACTTTTCAACAGAAACTTTTCAGGCCAGAAGGAACTGATTTAAAGTGATGTAAAGCAAGGACCTACAACCAAGATTTCTCTATCCAGCAAAGCTATAATTTAGAACTGAAGAACATATAAAGAGCTTCCCAGACGAGAAAAAGTTTAAGGAGTTCATCACCACAAAACCAACATTACATGAAATGTCAAAGTCTTCTTGAAGAAGAAAAAGAATAAAATGGCAACAAACATGTATCTATCAACATTTGAATCTAAAAAACAAAATAGACCAGAAACAGACTCAGAGATATAGAGAACATTTTGATAGTTACCAGGGAGGAGATTTGGAGGATGGATATAAAGATAAAAGGATTAAGAAGTACAAATTGGTAGTATCAGAAAAGAGACATAAAGTACAGCATTGGGAATATAGTCAATAATATTCTAATAACTATGTATGGTGTCAATTGGGTATGAAACTTACCAGCATGATCACTTAGAAAGTTATATAATGTCTAATCACTGGGATGTACACCTGGGATGAATATATTATTGTATGTCAACTGTAACTGAAAAATAAGAATTATAGAAAATAAAAAAAATGTGTTATTCATAAAAGATTACTGTGATCTGCAAACACAAAATGCACATCTCTCTTAAGGTTAGAGACTTTTTTTTTAAATCCTCACTTGAGGATATGGTTATTGATTTGAGAGAGAGAAGGAGGAGGAAGGAAGAGAGAAACATTGATGTAGAAAGTGAAACATTGATAAGTTGACTCCCATACATGCTCCAATTAGGGATTGAACCCACAACCTAGGTATATCCTTGACCTGGAATCAAACCTGCAACCTTTCTGGAGTATGGGATGATGCTATAATCAACTGAGCCAGCAAAACTTGGGGGAAGTTCAAAGACTTAACAGATCATCTCCCTCCACCCCTACTATGGCCTCTTCCCCACACACAGCTCACAGCTCTAAGCCTTGCCATACTTGGCACTTAGTAAACAACTATCAACAGAATGAAAGCACCAATCCTAAAAGGCCATACCAAGATTTCAGCTAAAGAATCATCCAACTTATTAACTGCCAGTAATTACACTAAGGCCAATCCTATATAATAAAGTAATATGCAAATTGACCATCACTACAACACACAAGATAGCTGCCACAAGATGGCCAACAGGGGAGGGCAGTTGTGGGTGATTAGGCCTACAAGGGAGAGCAGTTAGGGGCGACCAGGCTGGCAAGGAAGAAAAGTTAGGGGTGACCGACCAGCAGGTTAGAGCAGTTGGGGGCGACTGGGCCAGCAGAGGAGGGCAGTTAGGGGCAACCAGGCCAGCAAGGGAGGGAAGTTAGGGGTGACCGGGCCAGCAGGGGAGGGCTGTTGGGGGTGACCAGGCCAGCAAGGGAGGGCAGTTAGGGGTGACCAGGCCTGTAGGAGAGGGGAGGGCAGTTAGGGGTGACCAGGCCAGCAAGGGAGGGAAGTTAGATGTCGATCAGGCTGGCAGGAGCGTGGTTAGGGGTGATCAGGCTGGCAGGCAGAAGTGGTTAGGGGCAATCAGGCAGGAGAGCAGTTAGGACCCAGAAGTCCTGGATTGTGATAGGGATGTCCGTTTAGGGGTCCCAGATTGGAGAGGGTGCAGGGTGAGCTGAGGGACACCCCATCTCCTGTGCATGAACTTCATGCACTTGGCCTCTAGTCTATAATAATAAAAGTATAATATGCTAATTATTGAACAGCGAATGACTGTCCAGATGACCTTCCAGACAACCATCTGGGACCACGCTATGACACCCACTGGCACAAGGCCAGCCAAGGCAGGTGTGATGTGATTGGTCAGGGGCCTGGCCATCACCCCATGATCGCCCCAAAGAGGGAAGTCGGTGGCGGCAGCAGGGGTGGGGGGTGGAAGGACGGCCTACTCTTGCATAAATTTTGTGCATTGGGCCTCTAGTACTGTATATAAACTTTCATTTCAATTATTTGACTTGTATCAATTTTTACTGATCATGTTCAAACTGACTTCTACCATCTTTGCAATGTCTTCATTGTTGCTTATTGCTCTCACTAGGCACAAACTCCTCAAAGCAGGCATTTGTCTTATGTATTTCTGTCTCTGAGAAGACACAATACTTGGCTCAGTACCCATCTGCTAAAGGGCATCCACTCTGGGCATTAGTGTAACCCTTCTTATAGCTGTTCTGACAGGTAATTACCTTAAAGTCATGATTTATTTTAGAGCCACACTATAATACTGATATAAACCCAAAATGTCTTACACTGAATTCTAATAGAATCAAGCAACATGTTTAGAAAAACTGAAGAAATTCTCGCTGAGACTCTCATGATTCAATTTGAGAAGTGGCCATCTCCACCGGCGGTGTCTCACACCAGGGTTACACAGGAGCACTGCGTAAGAACCCAAGGCTCTGGCCTCATTCGGACAAAACACTAGAAGCCTAAGCCTGCACTGCCTTCAAGTAACATTTCAGATTCAAGTTTGTCACAACTGCTTCTTCTGACTTAATTACATTCATTCCATTTTAATTCTATCCCATTCTCAAACAGTCATGATACATTCCACCCTTGCCCCCAGTTGGACCAAGTTCTGTGAGGGTCCTTTTCCATCTTTACAGTCACCATGATACCATGATACTGGGCCTTACACTTCTACTGGACTAGCCCAGCAGTCCAACTGGATTCTCTACTTCCAGCTTCTCTTGTGTTTAATCCCTTAGTCACACTGTTCCCAAACTGGTCATCTCCTTTTAAGCCAGCTTTTTGGTGCAAAACCCCACTCCTCCTCCTGCACACGCCTCTCCCCCCCAACACTTGGCAATATCTGGAGACATGTTGTCACCGGTGGGCAGAGGCCAGGGATGCTGCTATACGCCCTGTAATCCCACAACACAGAATGGTCTGACCTTCCATCACCTTGCTGCTTTGGACCAGTCATTTACATTCTTTGAATGTTAGTTTCCTCGTTGGCAAAGGGCTGTCAGGAGGGTTATGTGCTGCCCTAGACCAGCAGTCACCGACCTTTCGGACCTCACGGACCACCAGTGGCTGGCAGACCGCCGGCTGGCCACCACTGGATAGAGGCCTGAGCACAGGTACTGTCACGCATTAAAAAACTGCTGCTCCTTCTTCATTGTCTCAAACAGAATTATTCTCACAGCAGCAAGGCTAGAATGGACCCTGAGAATGGGAACAAAGGCTTACAAGAGGAAGAGTTAAAATAAGAAGTGTTTTCCTGGGCCTGGATAAACGGTATGTCAATAATACAAGCAAGGTTGCTGAACCACGGTTAGGGCCAGTCCTGTTAGTCTGGAAAGATGGGAGTGCCTTATAAAAAAGTGCAGATTTAAGTCCCGCCAGTGTGGCTCAGTGGATGAGTGGTGACCTGTGATCCAGGAGGTCATGGTTCGATTCCTGGTCAGGGCACATGCCCAGGTTTCGGGCTTGATCCCTAGTGGGGGTTCTGCAGAAGCAGCCAGTTTGTGATTCTCTCATCACGGATGTCTCCCTCCCTCCCTCTTCCTTACTTCTCTGAAACCAATGAAAACATATTTTAAACAAGGCAGACTTAGGAAACTGCAGGCTGATGGGCCTGCCACCAGGAAGAAAATGGCCACATTAAGATGTTGTAGACTGAGGCTTGGGTACAATGACAATGGATAGATTTGTAATCATTGGAATAACTGCCCTTCCTCTAAATGGCCGTCTCCACTTCCTCTCCAAACCCACTTCCTTTTTGTTGCAACTGAGGAGTTTTGCCTCTACTCTCTGAGGTCAAGCCCTCCAGTGTCCTGGACACCAGCTCTCCGAGACCTCCTCTGCGACTCCGCTTCTCCAGCCCATCTCCGCAGACCATCCTTCCACTGCCAGTGCTCCCCTCCAGCCCTCCGGCCGCCCCCCCCCCCCCCCCCCCCCGCCTCAGCCCCTCCCACACCCTCCAGCAACCTGTGTCCACTTCCTCCTCTCAGCTGACTTCCTTCCTACCACTCCGCTACCGTAGGGCAAATCCAAAGACACTTTCCTGACTTCGTTTTATTGTCAGGTTCGAAACTTGCGTTCAGAAAGCCAAACAGAATGAAAAAGTTGCAGAAGTAGCAGAAACTTTAAAAGATTTTAATAACAGTAAATTCAGAATGAGTCATGATCTTGCAAGAACAGAAAAAACAGTTCAAGGCCTGAAGATACCTCACGAGAGGCTTTTAAACGACCGTTACTTCTTGAAGATGCAACCTGTTGCCCTGTGGAATGAGTGTAAGTAGGAAGGCTCACCTGGCAAAAGCAAGATCTTTTCTTGAATCAACCCGGCATTAAAAATTTCATCTAAACTCAAGGCTAAACGAATCTGATTGGTAATCAAGCCAGTGCCCTAGCCTTCCACTCAGTGAGCGAGACAACACACTAAAACTAAGCCCAGGCTTTCGGCTCAGAGGTGAGTCCGAGGTCCCGGCTCAGACGTGTTTTCAGTCAGGAAACCGGCGCTCCCGAGCGCCCTGCGCGCGGGCGGGGAGGGCGCCGGGCCCGCACGCCCGGGGACGCTCGGGTCCTGCCGCCCGGCTCGGGGCCGCGCAGTGGAAGGGGACCACGGCGAGCAGCCAGGAGGCTCCGGCTGGAGCCACACTCCTCCCGGCGGATTTTAATTTCTCTCGCCCCCACCACGGCCCCGGGAAAGGGCCAGGCGAAGGGACCTGTGGGCAGGCTGGCGCCCAGCAAGGCCAGGGCTTCCCTGAGCCCGGGGCCGCCCGCGCGAGCCCCGCCCGCTCACCCGCGTGGGCCAGGGGCCCGGTGAGGTTCCCGTGGCGCTCCTCGTTGTAGATCACCACCGCCGAGGCGTTGCTCCGCGCCGCCGCCAGCACCTGGTCCTTGAAGGCGCAGCCCCCACGCGCCACCAGGGCGACCCAGGGCGCGGCCGCGCGGCCGCCCGGCGCGGGCACCACGAAGCGCGTGCCGGGCGCGCAGCCCGCGGGGTCGCCGTCCGCGGCGCGGGGGACGCCCACCAGGCCCAGCGCGCCCGCCTTGGGGGAGCTGTCGCCGAAGCGGCCGCTCTCCGAGGCGCTGCACACGGTGCGGTTGGTGTGCCGGTCCACGTACTGCAGGCTCACCACGGCCGAGTACCACTCCAGCGCCTGGCCGCCCGCGCCCGGCGCGCACAGGGCCAGCGCCAGCAGCGCCCGCAGCGCCAGCGCACCGCGGCCCGCGCCGCCCGCCTCGGGCCGCCGCGCCATGGCCCCGCCAGCCAGGAGCAGCGCCGGGCGGCCCCGGGCTGCGGGAGCGCCGGCGACGAGGAAGCGGAGGAGCACGGGCCTGCGTCCTCCGCCGCGGGAGCGCGCGGACGGTGGGCGGGCGCAGCGCATGCGCACGCGGAGTGGAGCAGGCTGGGCGGACGGGAGGGGGCGGGGCTACAGGAGAAGCCCAGGGGCCCGGTGACTGGGGGCGAGGGCGGGGCTACGTGCGGGGCGGGGCGGCGTGCGGGGCGGGGCGGCGTGGGGGGGGGCCGAGGGCTGCGGGAGCCGCGGGCGCGGAGCTGGCGGCCGCCCCCGCCCGGCCTGCGCGCAGGCGCCGTGGCCGGCCGCCTTGTGCAAGGGGACCCGGTGCCCCGGAAGCCGCGGGTACGTGGCCGCCGAGAAACGGGAAGCTTCCCCGCCAGGCGTGGGAGCGGGATTGTGTAAACCACCCAGCGGATGTTCATGAGGAACTTTTTTTTAAGCGTTTCATTTTTAATTTTTGTGTTGCTTTCAGAGCGGACGGGAGGGAGAGAAACATGGATGAGAGAGAATCATTGATCGCCGCCTCCTACACGCCCCCCTGCGGATGGAGCCCGCAGCCTGGGCCTGCGCCCTTTCCTGCATGAGCGCGGGACCCTTCCGTCCGCGCCCACGCTCTCTCCACTGAGCCACACCAGCTAGGGCTGTTTGTGAAGAATTTACTGTGGCAGAGGACTTGTTTGTCTAAGACATTTAAAAACCCAAGTAAAAAACCCAAAGCTTGCCGAGACCGGTTTCGCTCAACGGATAGAGCGTCGGCTTGGGGACTGAAGGGTCCCGGGTTCGATTCCGGTCAAAGGCATGTACCTTGGTTGCGGGCACATCCCCAGTAGGGGGTGTGTAAGAGGCGGCTGATCGATGACTCTCTCATCGACGTTTCTAACTCTCTATCTCTCTCCCTTCCTCTCTGTACAAAATCAATAAAATATATTTTAAAAAAAATCCGAGAGAAGAACCAAGATGGCGGCATAGGACAGACGCCCAAATGCAGCCTACCACAACAAGTTTGAATTTAGAACTGAAAAATAGGGGAAACATCACCCTGAAGCGCCGGACGGCTGGCTGAGCGGAAGCTCTACCATCTGGGAAGGAGAGAGAAGGCGCGCTAAACCTCAGGAACTGTGAAGGTGCAGTGAACTGTGCGCGCGAAAAAGCGGCTGCAGAGTTCGCTGCCGGCTTGCTTGCGGAGCGCGGAGAGGGCTGGCCGAGTTCACTACAGGCTTATTCTCTGCGCGGAGAGGGTGGACAGCTAATGCGCGGCTGGCTTTCTTGTTCGGGAGGAAAACAGAACCACCCTATTGCCCTGATAGACGGCCCCAGACAGGAAGAGGCCAGACTGTCGGGCAGTGGGCAGGGATCTCTCGGAGGTGTGTGAAGCCAGCAGCCATTACTGAGGGACTCAGAAACCAGACCCTCGTAGGGAGGGGCTGAATAAAGCTTGTCTGCACCATCCAAGACTCCGCCCCATTAAAGCGGAGCACAGAAGCCCTTCCAGTGGCTAGCTTCCTCGTTCGCTGCCAATAGGACTCTCCGAGGGAGGGGCAGACAGGAATCTAAAGCTTATCTGCTCCTATACCAAAGAGGTGCATGCACCTGCAGCCAATTGTGCGGGACTCAACAAAGCTTGGCTCTGCCACCCGAGACTCCGCCCATCCAAGCAGACTACAGAAACCCTCCTAGCTGAGACACTTCTGATCCTCATAGCCAATTGGCTTGGAGATCAAAACTTCCCAGTGATACCAACAACAAGCAAGGCTTAACAACAAAACGGCACACACATCCCACAAAGGGCTACACCAAGTCTGTCCACCTCAGGTAACTGGGAGGCTGACTCACTGAACTATATAGGACACCTTAGCACACAAAGCCACCCTACCAACTCAGGGAAGCTGTGAAAATGCCAAGACATGGAAATAGATCACAAACAAAAGAAATGGAGGAAAAGAAGAGACTGGATATAGAGTTCAAAACCACGCTTATAGGGTTTTTCAAGAATTTCCTAGAAAAGGTCGATAAGACCTATGAGGAGATGAAAAGGGATCAACAAGAACTAATAAGGGATCAACAAGAAATAAAGAATACTTTGTCTGAAATAAAAAGTATTATACAGAGTCCTAAAAACAAAATGAAAGATCACAAGAATCAAGTCAAAGATTTGGAGCATAAAGAGCCAGAAGACACTCCTCCACAGAAGCAAGAAGACAAGAGAATCCAGAAAGTTGAAGATAATGTAAGAAACCTCTGGGACAATTTCAAGCAAACCAACATCAGAATTATGGGGGTCCCAGAAGATGAGAGAGAGCAAGATATCGAAAACATACTGAAAGAAATAGTGACAGAAAACTTCCCCCACCTGGTGAAAGAATTAGACTTACAAGTTCAGGAAGCACACAGAACTCCAAACAAAAGGAATCCAAAGAGGATCACACCAAGACAAATCATAATTAAAATTCCAAGAGCAAAAGACGAAGAGAGAATATTAAAAGCAGCAAGAGCAAAGCAGGTAGTTACCTTTAAAGGAGCACCTATACGATTGTCAGCTGATTTCTCAACAGAAACCATGCAGGCCAGACGGGAATGGCAAGAAATATTCAAGGTGACGAATAGCAAAAACCTACAGCCAAAAATAATCTACCCAGCAAAGCTATCACTCAGAATTGAAGGCCAGATAAAGAGCTTCACTAATAAAAAAAAAGCTAAAGGAGTTCATCACCACCAAACCAGAATTATATGAATTGCTGAAGGGGGTTCTTTCGGAAGAGAAAGTAAATAAAGGTAAAAACTATGAACAACAAATATGTAACTATCAACAAGTGAATCTAAAAACCAAGGGAATTAAAAAAAAATCTGATGAACAATATTAACTGGTGAATATAATAGAATCAGAGGTATGGAAGGGGAGTGGACTGATGTTGCTCGGGGAAAAGGGGAGAGGGGGGAGTGGGAAGAGACTGAACATAAACTGTGCACCTATGGATAAGGACAATGGGGGGTGGGGAAAGGGCAGTGGGTGGGGTGGGAACCTGGTGGAGGGGAGCAATGGGCGAGGGGAGAATGAGGAACATTTGTTTTGTAATAATATGAACAATAAAGATTTATTAAAAAAAATCCTAAGCTTCATTTTCCAGAAATGTTTTATTACCTATTTTGTAATACTAATGATTCCTTAAGGCTGTTCTCAAGTATTATACTCATAAGAACATATATATATATATATATATATATATATATATATATATATATCTGTAGTTTTTAAAAATATACATTTTATTGATTTTTTACAGAGAGGAAGGGAGAGGGAAAGAGTTACAATTATCAATGAGAGAAAAACATAAATCAGATGCCTCCTGTACACTCCTTACTGGGATGTGCTGGCAACCAGGGTACATGCCCTTGACCAAAATCAAACCGGGACCCTTCAGTTCACAGGCCGAAGCTCTGTCCACTGAACCAAACTGGTCAGGGGTACAATATGTAGTTTTGAAGTAAGTGCATCAAACTTAAATTGTACAGTAATACATGAATAGAAAAACAAAAGAACTAGTTTGGACCTGAATAAGCCTGCCCTGGAAACTCCTGCAGGAGAAGCTGATTCTAGCTCCCCTCCCTCCTGCTCCTGCACTCGCCCGGTGGCTGCTGCCGCTCTCACAGGCCTTTCTTTGGGCCTCAGTCCCTCTCCCATTTTCTGTTTGTTACCCATCTGTCTCAGACTGTGTTTAAAACTGCGCTCCAAAATGCAGCCTGGCCCGCACCCCGGTTTAAAAGGCGGGCAGGACCGCATGCAGGAGGGAGCGAAGTGCAGCGCCGTGCTCCGGAGCCTTGCTTTGGGAGTGGTTCTTGGGTACTGCCCGAGTAGGGATTTCCTGAGGCCCCAGAGGAGGCTGAGATGTGGTGGGAATCTTTATTTGAGTGGGATTACATTCCTCCATTTGCAAAGTCCCATTTCCCTGAAACTAGTCCCGGAAAAGGTGAAGCTGGGGCCAGCAGAGCAAAAAGCAATGCTCTGTTCCCGGTGGAGCTGAGCGGCAGGGCCCCAGGCCAGTTGGAGTATGTTGGTACACGGCGTGTGGGGTCCACACAGCGCTGAGTCCCACACGCCAGGAGTCAGGCAGCAGCAGCCAGGGAGAGACGGGCAGGAGTTACGCTTTGTGTAGGAGCTTAAACTCTAAATATATTTGGTAATTGTATCCTGTTAATCTGTCTCATGTTAGTTTGATTACTAGTCCAGCCAGAAAAATTTAGAAAACTATTTTTCTACCTACACAACATCATATCATCTTACCTGTAAACATTTAAATGTTAAAAACAAAACATGATCACGATATTATCACAATTTTTAAAAAGCAAAAACATAATCACACAGAAAATTTGTCCATAGCTCTGTTGCTTTTCATGGAGTCGTAAGAAAAGCACTTCTGGGACCTCACCTGGGAGAGGAGGGTTAGTGGTAAGATTCGTTGGGATTGAAATAAATGCCCCCAGGTCTCAGCTGTCTGTCCTGCTCTGGAAAAAGTCCAGCCTCCTCGTCATCAGACCCAGAAACCCTGTGCCATGGGCTCATGCCTGGCCGGCCGGCTTAGGCTGCCGCACGGTGCGAGGCACCGCTGGACCCATGTGGCCTGCTGTGGGCCCAGGCGGCTGCTTTAAGCTTCGGAAGGACAAGGCATTTAAAAAAAAAAAAAAAAAAAAAAAAAAAATATATATATATATATATATATATATATATATATATATTTCAGAGAGGAAGGGAGAGGGGGAAAGAGAGAAACGTCAGTGATGAGAGAGAATCATGGATCAGCTGCCTTCTGCTACTCCCCCTGCCTCCCCAGGATTGGAGCCTACAACCTAGGGGCAGAGGCAGCCCTGTGGCGGAGGCAGGCGGACGAGGTGCTTTTTGAAACCAGCCAGTCAATTTCTCAGGCCTGCAGGGGCTTGCTGTATTGGGTCCTTCCCCTAACCCA